CTGGATATGTGACATGTCTCTTTACTAGCTAATCTCGAAGTTCTGATGATTCATGTCTTTTCCAGTTATTGTTTCCAAAAAAAACGTTATAGAATTAAATGTGAATCAAACAAGAGAAGCAAGCGACAGGATTTAGAATCATTGAAGTTGCTTACTAGTGACTCCTCTCAAATAGATTAAGTGCTAAGTAAAATTCGTTACCTGAACTGCATGACTAATATATTAGTAGTTATAGTAAATAAGTAGCTACTATAGTTACTAGTTTCAGTAATTTCAAAGTAACTTGTGAGTAGTGTGAGTGAAAAGAAGTTTAATTTGCATGACATCTATCTCTGTATGTGTACAGTTTTACTCGGTTCTAACCTAAAGCAAGAAGTTCTATTTTCTCTCTTGGCGTTTTTGTATACGGTAATCGACACTCACCACTACTTGAATCATTACACTTGCAGAAAAGTATTATGCTACTTCCAAATAGTTTAAACTCGTCTTGGTTCTTGTTTTCTTTGTGCTGTAAATACACGAACATTTATACAGATATTGCCAAAAAGCTAATGACTAAAATACTAACAATAATAGAACAAATCGAATAATAGATACAGAACAAACAATTCTCTTAGGATTTCCCACGTCGACACTTTTTATATTCACCTAAAAAATCAAGCCATTTCCTAGAGTAGACGTTGCAGATGATGGGAAAAGAACGAAAAGAAAAATGTCGAAAAAAAATATAGAAAAGTAAAATATCGAAAGGAAAAATTGTTGGAAAGAAAAGTATTGGACGAAAAACGGCGAAAGAAAAATATCGAAAAAGGAAAATGTCGAATTAAGAGATTATATTTTCATTATAATAATTTATAGCATCAATAAAAAATTTATTGAATAAAGAGAAAGGGTAAAGAAATTCGTAAAGGTATTGGTGTGGTGCTATTCTCTACACCTATAATCAAACTCACATTCTCACACTCTCGACTGAAATCCCTAGTTTCTTCTCAATGCATTGCATTTTTCAGTGTCCATCAAGCTTGAAAAGTAGATGTTCCGAAGCAATATTCGACGTGTATGTAATGAAACAATATCTCAAAAAAACACATCAAACATAGTGTAGCATTCTTTCCCTCAGAATATATGATAATACTCTCATAGAGTGTGTCGCTATATCCTTACCGTTGAATGTGAGTTTTTCCGTCAAATATCAATAAAAATATCTAGACTAACCTACTTTTTTTACAACACATTAATAACTTAAATTAATAGTTTTAATGTTGTTCTTGTTAGAAATACGATGATAATTTTTTAGAAGTGTAGTATTTGTAGTTATAACAAGAAATATTTCGCAAAAAAAAACAGAAAATCGGTTATATTTTCATGAGGGTTAACTATTGTCTATGAAAAATCTGATATTTTAGAATATATTTAATACTTAGTACAAAGACTACTAATAGAGCGTTTGAACTTTCACTGAGGGAAACCTAATACAGATGATAGCCTTCTTTTCTGGAGAGAACAGGCAGAGAAACAAATTTTATGTTAGAGAGTTCTCTAGAGGTCGTCTTTATATAATTGTTAACAACATTTTTAGTAATCATTTTTCAATAACTATCTTGATAGCTCACTTCATCACTAGCTCTATACTCCTTCGGCCAACCTCTCCAGTAACTGTTCCAACAATTCAATACATCCCGACAGAGTTTGAATCAGTTCGCAACATTTCCGACTTCATCTGCTTGTGCTATAGTGATCTGTGTCAAAATACTACAAATACCGGTGGCATGGAGTACTATTTATCGTAAAATCTGACAAGATGATAGGCTTGAAATGCTAGCGATCTGAAAGTATTTAAGGCACATCACATTTAACTCAACAGATCTATACGAATACTAATTGTAGTTAAAAATGAACAAGACTCTATACAAGATAGTTTGCCTTTCTAGGACCAGCTTCTTATTCACAAACTCGTATCTGGGTTGATGAAAAGGTTCGCTTCGATTCTCAAAGCCTTCAAGTAGCAATTCACAACATGCCTTTTATGTATCACATCTCAC